AATTTGACTGAGAGGTTGAGAACAGATCATAGAGGTATTTATATAGAACTTGTAACTACATTAAAATCTACATATTTTTAGTCTTTATCTCAAGGTTGAGTCTGATTTTGATTTAAGCAAGTCTCTGCCGTGCAAAATGAAATGCTTATCCTTCCATTTCAAGTTCGGCCTCTTTGTTTCTGTCCTTTGGATGATTCATTTTAGGGATGGTTTTTTATACATGTAGAACTATTTCAATGATACTTGTATTACTGATAGCGGTAATAGCAATTTCATACGAGGCTTTCTTGAACTAAGAATATGCTACAATTATGGCTGTTACCTCTTTCTATATGGTTGAGGCAGGGAAATGGGGTTCTTGAGATATAATCAAACAAGTTGCTGTCAGTATAGTTCACTTGTTATCAACTAATTATCATCATGGGCCAAAGAAACCCTTTTTTTAATTAAGAAATGTTGTCGTGTTCAATTTGCAACAGGGTCGAACGGGGAATATATGGTTCATTTATGTGTGAGGCCATGCTTTTAGGTTTTTGCACATTGCAGTTTTAGATTGAATGGCACGCGGAAAAATTGACACCAAAGAGACCGAGGGAGAAATTGGGGTCTAATTATTACATACAAATACGTTTTTGATATTTCAAAACTGAAACATTTGTTACTTGTATGCTTGAGTGACTCCAACATCTCAACATTACGGTTTATGTTAAATCCGTATAATGCATGATGAACCATTGTAGTTTGCATATTGAAGAAAAATTTTGGGGCTTAAATAGAAAAATAGTGCCAGTGGCTGTTCTTTGAACCCGAGAAAATATGAGTTCAGTACTGACGAAATGTTTATAGAGTAAGGCAAAATTATGGTTTTCTTAACGCACTTTTAGCTTCCATATGACTCCTTTTAGAAGTGATGACTAGAAGCAGCAAGCTCTGAGGTCACCAAGAAAAAGTTTTCTGGCCACCTAAACAGGAAGCCTTGTGATTGCAATTGACATTGATATGAGAACTTACTATGAGGTCAAATAGAAAAAGTGCATACTGAATTTGGCACGCACTCAGTTATTGTGTTGATAGAGGAAAAACAGAAAAAGAAGTTGTCACTTCAGCAGAATAGACCTTAGTATTCTTCTCCACCTTCACATGACAACTTTTTGCTCTAGTATAGGATATAATCTTTATACTCTACTGTGGAATTTTTTTCTACTATGTATGGAAATTTTATGAGCTTTCTGTCTGCTGTTTTATCTCTCATGGTTACGACTACCAGATTTAGTGTATATGGCTGTATCATCATCCTTCAGTTAAGTTTTCCCATCGATTTTTGAAGTTTTGGGCAAGTCTCTATAGTATTTTGTTTTTTTAATATTGGTGGTTGTTTTGGTGATTGTCATGCATTTCAGCCTAAATCATGTCCATATGCAAATACAGTGTATGCCATTCGATCATCCCATTCTGTAAATATTGGTTAACTTTCTGCTTTTAAAGATTTGCCAAAACGAAAATTTCCAATTTTTAACTGAATTTTGTAATTTTAGCATATGTCATTTACATCCCAATGCATTTTCTGCAGGCTAAAAAACCGCAGAGGTGTGGAATTGGTTGGCAGATTGAGGGGTCATCTTGCTGCCATATAAGATCATTGTTGTAGCAGGTTGCGGGCCTATAGCATGTTGTAACTTGGGAGTGCAGAAGTTTGATTGAGCTGAACAGTGGACAAAAAGAATTCATGGATGTGCTCTGCTTCAACAATTGATTCAGAATGTTTCCAAGTCACAGGACTTGCAACTCTTTTTCCATTTTATGTATCTCTGACACCAAGAAACAGAAAATAGAAAACAACAAAACCTGAGTTTTTCATCAAATTATGGGCTGCACGCAAAAAACTAGAAATATTGGATTAAGGCGCTACTAAAATGAATTTATATGGAGGAGCAAACAAATGAAGTATTCAAGAACTCCATATGCCTATGGTAAAACTAAACTATAACAATTTATGATTCTTTTTGTTTTTGGTTTCCCCCTCCCTCCCTCTTGACTGCATGTTCAAAGATATACCAATTTAACAAAACTGTTGTTATACTATCTTAGACATTTTCTGAGTAATTTATATGCAAGCATCTCCTAGTGAAAACCTAGAAGTATGAAAAATGGCAATGCTTAATAAGTGAAACAAGAATGATACAACAATTTTGTTTGAAAAAGTGTAATCTGAATACAATCACGAGAGATGTTTGATTATCCAATTTCCTTTCCGTTTTAAGGAGAGGGTGGGGGAGAAGGGGTTAAACATATTCTGTACTGAAATATCATCTCCTGTCCTACATTTTAGATTTTTAAATATTTAATGTTCTGTTTTTGTAATATCCAGATCATGCAGTGGTTAAGTATCTCTATGATACTATTGTTAGATAAACATGACAATATTTGAATTTCGGATCAAGAGATTAGTGTTTTAATAAACACAGAGATTAGTGTTATCATTGATTTACCAAAAATGTTATCAAGAAAAATTCCCTTCCATTTTTTCTTTTTAATATACTACTTGAACCCTTTTGCTCCCTTCCCTCCTGATTTTCAAATTGAAGAACCACAAGATAGAAGTCTAATCCCCATCCAACAAGAAGTATTTGATGAGGATGAAATATTTGAATCAGCTCTGCCATGCAAAGCAGGAAACTGCTATAAAATCCCCATGATCCCAAGTACTTTTTTTCACAAGAAACTTTACAAACTCAAAACATCAACCATGAGGATAAAGGAGGGAAAGGTATAGTTCTTTTCAATGAACATCCTGGAGTATTATTAGTCTCTTCTTTCTTCTTATGTAAGAGACAAGGGTTGTGCTCCCTGTTCAATTATCATTAATAAAGTGAGTTCTTTTCTGCATTAATATTTGCTGGTTTTTTCTTTGAATATTGAGATTCATGATCATGTGTTATAGTCATTCTTTTCCTTTGAGAAAATTGTTATTGCCATTAAGGTACTCCCTCCATCCTATTAAAACTATTATATTTTTCATTTTGGGACGCCTTCAAATGTTTGTCGTGAAATTCGAAACTCCTTTTATTCTCTTTTTTCTTTAATCATATGCATGTTGCTATTCAAATTCAAAATTTGAATTTATGGGGATAAAATTGAAAAGAGAAGTATTAGCATCATAATCAAAGTGCTATTCTTAAAAAGTTGCATCCTGGAAACATGACAAATAAATACAATTTTCAAATAAATACAAATAAATTGGGACAGAGGGGTATAAATAGGGATGGCAACGGGGCGGGGTTGGGGCAGGAGACCCCTCCCCCACCCCCCGCCCCGCCCCGCTTCACCCCGCTTCCCCCGCGGGGGCATCCGTGGGGTTAATAAAATTGTCCTCGCGGGGTTAATAAAATTTTATTATAGTTAAATTTTAATAAATAATCAAATACTAAAATATCAACACATCATCAAGTTATTATTCATTGTAATTTTACAATTGAAACTCATAAAAACAATCAAACAAAAGTTATTTGAATACAATCCAACATGATGAAATAAATACAACTAAAATAGTTAAGTTTTCACTTTTGGTACAAATACAATCACTAATTCATTATTGTGTTTGTGTTTTTTTTTGAGAAAAAAGTGTTATTCTAGTAAGTGTAATTAGAAATTTAGTATAAATGTATTAGTAAATTTAGTATAGCTAATTAATAAATTCTATTAGTAGACATGTCTAATTATTCATATAATTGATAATATCAATTATATTACATACATTAATATACATTATATAATACATCTAACTAATAATATCATTATCATAAGTTTATAACTAATTAAATTACATATTATATATATTTATTTATATATATATACACTTTTTTTTTGCGGGTGGCGGGGCGGGGGATGGGGCGGGGATACTCCCCCGCCCCCCGCCCCGTTTCTAAACGAGGGGAAAAAATTCCCCCCCGCCCCCGCCCCACTCCCCGCGGACACTCGTCATCATTGCCATCCCTAGGTATAAAGGATAGCTATTCACATAAAAGAATAAAAAGAATAAAAGATTTTGGTATTAGTTGAATTACAAGCCTTTCTTTTACTTTTTGAGTGTACTTTTTCATGTCATTCAAAAGTGTACATCTAATCTCACCCTTTTCCATTGTATGTTGAAGGGGCTCTCTTATCACAATGTAAATATGGGATCCTTCTGCTACGAATTTCTTTCTATTCAGTGATTGTATTTAGTGGGTTTTTTTTGGGTGTATGCATACAAATTTTATTCACTCACGAAGTGCAACAAAGACACATGCTAAGGACATTGGTAATTTGAAATCTTAATTAGTCATTGTTGATAAGCTTTAGCGTTTAACTGAAGATAAGCATCGCCCTCTATGATTTGTGTTACTAAACTGTGATTAACCAATTTAGTTTGCATAGTTGAAGATAAAGTTTGGAGCTCCCATAGTCCATACAGAAGAGTTGCCTATATATGGGCTCTCCTTTATTTTGATTCAAGAATTAAAACTGAAAGCGAGTTTGTCTACTTAATCTTCAAATAAGGAATTTGATTAACACATTACATACATTAGTAATCAACCAAGCCATCTGAATTTATATGCATTTTTTTGCTCAAAAAAATCTCAGCCTTACAAATTCTGTTTATCGCATGTATTATAGTGTTTACCTTCTAAAAGATGTTTGAATAGCAGCAGATGAGATCCTCTATCCATTATGTCTGTCCATTTTGCTCTCCAATGCAAAACTACGTAGTTCCACTTATTAATACTGCTAAAATTGTAATCTTAATTAGTCATGTTGATTCAGAAAGTAGACGTCCACGTTAAAATTGAATTTGAAACTCATATATCAAACACCCCCTAAATATGCATTCAATGTTATGTGCCATATCAGCAGCATTAGTAAGTGGAACTATGTAGTTTTGTATTGGAGAATAGATAGGTGCATAATAAATGTTTACAAATCTAAGGAAGCTGAAAATGACGAGAAAATATAACAAGAAATTGTAAAAACAAGAAGCTCATGGTTATAGGTTTACCCCATAGGAAAATGGGCAACATTCCAATACAAGGTACCCTGGCAAAAAGAAATACTACAAAACTGAACCCTAAAGAATCAATACAACTACCTATTGCCTAACATCAACAGGCATTCCAAGATTTGGGACGCCTAGAATGCGTTCTGTATGGATTAGAATCTATTGAGTATCAACTGAGTGTCAAATCCAATTAGGAATCAACAGTAAACTTCCTTTTCAACTTTTAAATCATCAGGTGAAGATGGAATGGAAGAAACTTGTTTACAACAAAAGGCAAAAGTTTAACACTAGAAAGTATTTTGAGTCCACAAATTAGAAACCATCTGTAAGGGCAAACACTCGGCCTGCCAAAGGTGGAGCCAGTGAAGAAATTGCATGTTGAATGACCTGATTGACAGAAAAAACAGAATTTGATCATCAGATCATGCAAGAGGAAGAAGGGGGAAAAAGGAAAAAGAAAGAAGTGAAATAACTACATGAATGTTAATGAAAACAAGTAAATTTCGGGTGCTGATAATTTGAAATATCACATTTTTGGCATAATGTAGAAACCCAGGAATAATTGTCAAGCTTTAACATGCCAATCGGGTAAGAGAACTCCACTTTAACTCGACTTCCTACTGATCACCAATCAGCCAAAGTTTTTGTTAAAAAAGGGAAAATAGGATTTATCATGCTTGATATGTCAGATTTGTCAACCGAAAGGAGTAAAACATAAGGATATCAATGTTTAAAGAGTCAAATTCCTTTCGGAGATAGAGGACAACTTACATCCAATTGATAGCGAGCCGAAAAGTGGATCAAAAGAATCGCTTTGTTTTCAAACATATCTGCATAGTGAATTATCTGCACAAATATACCAAAGCAACATCATACATCAACTGCAGTAAGGAGATTAGAAGGTAAGAAATGGTGAAAACTCAACCTCTGACAAATGCGTGTGTCCATAATCCCTTGCATCATCCACCGTCATGGTGTCTTCAACATATGTGCTCTTAATAGAAATCAAGGAAAAGGAAACTGTGTCAGAAAAAATTAGTCTCTTAAATAAATACCACAAGGTAAGCAACACATGCTCGTAGATAACAGCTTTCTAACTCCCAAAATCACCACATGCTGCTAATATATAACTGTTTAATAAAGCTTGACTTAAGTTGTTAGTAGCATCAATGCCATGGCTTTGAAGTCCCTTCTGCTGTTTTATCTTTTTGTATTGAATCTCTGTACCACTCATTTCGCTATAACAAGCAATCACATGTTAAAAGACTCCCAAAAACTCTGTACAACAAAAACATACAAGTCTCCATCTAAACTAGATAGTCACATAAATGATTCTTTTTTTTTTTTATTTTCTAAGGTTGTTTTAACCGCACAACTACATTAATGTAGTTCTTCCAAAATTTAGGTTGGATATAAACAAGTCTACACAGATCTAATGAAAAATTATGACAGAAAATACCAAAGTGCAGTCACGAGATGATAGGAAAACATAAAATGCATATTATTGTGATTGATAAAGCTCTGCACAATATACATATACATATATATATATAATGCAGCCATTGAGAAGAAGTTTCTAGCCATTATCTCTGCTTTCTTCATGAAAAAGAAAAAAGAAAAGAGAGAAACCCCAAAGCCATATCATAGAAAAGGGAAAAAAATAAGGAGGAGAAAAAAATAATAAAAAAAAGAAAGAGAAAAGGCATGACATGGCATGGCTTGGAGATCTTGCACTCGAGTCACAGGATGAACATGACTTGGCAGTTGCCTGGATGCTTGGCAAAACCCAATTATTGGGGTTAATTACCCGATTATTGCAAGTTTTGTTAAATTCTACTGATCATTTTTAAGCCGCCCAAAAGCGCCAGTTACCCTAGCAACTTTACGTCTAACTAAAAATGCTACTCAAAGGTTTAGCTATTACTCTACATACATCCAAGTTCAAAAAACCAAAACTAAACAAAAGAAAAAAAAATGTCAGCTTCAACAATTCAATGATTCTTTTTGACCAAGTCACCTTAAATTGAGCCCCTCATGAAGCCTGCTTTTGGTCTAACCTCACTTTCCTCCTCAAAATCCCATGCAAATTGATTCTTCTGTCTCTTTCCTCCTACAAGAAGACACTTTCATCCCCCAAATCTGTCTATGCATCAGAGGCTCCAAAAGCTTTAAAAAATGTGCACATGGCGGACTAGGACTCCAGTAACATTTAAAAGCCTCAAATTCTCTTCAATGTCAAAATCTATTTTAACTGTGTCCAAGGCAGGGGTTTGGACAACATAAACTTATAAAGATGCTAATCGAAGTAGTTGCTTTGAGCCAGACTCCTTACAGTCACTACTTCAATTAGCATAACCTCTATCTTTCAAAGACTAAAAGAAAATGATTGGTAAAATTTGAAATTAGATAAAAAGTTGCAAATATTCAGGTAACTAATCACTATATTATTTTGCTTGCAATCTAAGATATAAGTTGAATACAAACAAATACGCATACAAGCCAAAACAATTAACAAAATCACATGAAAGGCATGCATAAGCATAACCCAGTACGTCAAGTTAAGTCCACAATTGCAAGTTACTTCTTTCACTATAAATAACAACGATAAAGGACCACAGAGTTCCAGAATATCAGTCACAGTTAGGGTGTCATACTTCCATAATGAGGATCTTTGCTCTTAAAGCATCAATATTGTTGCTATCCACAATGAAGTCTGACGTTGTGTCTCCTGTGAAAGCAACTTCAGGCGTTGTTGTAGTATATGTAATCTGCCAAACGCAACAACAGTCCAGTCATTCTCTCAGCTATTGAGTGAAATAAATAAAAGTTACTGTAGATCAATTTAAATTAATAGGCTCAACCAAACACAGCACCAGATATGCGCAAGGCAATCTAATGAGAAGTATGAGTTATAGTGCTATGAGAACAAATTCTAAAATAATTTAAGCATCAAAGCCCAAGACACACCAAGATTATTCATTTGAAAACCTTCCTCCAACTTGCAAAGAAGAACAATCAAGATTAAAGAAAAGCAATGTATATTTATGCAGGTATTAGCATGCTGCACCAACAAGAAAACTAGAGTACAAAAGTGAAGTAAATGCTCAAAAAAGCGACTTCTGTTTGGCAGCCAAGAAGTAATATAGAGTTATCAAGGCACAGACCTCCACACCTGATAACCTCAATTTCTTTATCTCGTTCCCTGGAAGCCCAATATATTCGTCCTTAAGTTTCTGCTTTACTGAATAAACTACATAACCCTATCATTCAGGGTGAGCAGAGGAAGTTAAAGCCTGAAACAGTACTATGGATGATTGTTATAAGGCTCAAGAGAAGACACCTGGCTGGGTATGACGTGGTAAGTCTTAAAGGCTTTTACTTTAAGGTCCTTTCTCAAGTAAAACTCTTCTCCTGCAGAGAAAAGCAATTACATTGAGGTGATCAAATGCAAAAGACTCTACATCCGTCAAAAACACATCTTTTCTAAAATAAATGCACAAATTAATAAATGTATAAATCAAGTGTTAATTAGAAGATAGTTATTACCCACATCCAAGCCAATCAAAGTATGGTTCAATTCTGATTGATCCATATCTCTATGTGCTTGAAAAATCGTTTCAACATTTTCCTTTATGGTCTTTGGCACAATTACAGTTGGGGCTGCCATTCTGTATAATCCACGAGTTGCAACAAACATTGGCAGTCCTCCCTACAAACACCAATACAGGCAGTAAGCACGATATCATAAACAATTTACCCAACTCATGGCTCGCAAACTTAGATCTTACACCTTAGCTCTTCACAAAGCTTAACAAAACTATCAATGCATAACAAGCATGGCACGATATGGCATGAAATTCGGGAATTATCAAAGTAACTAATCAACAGAAACTTAAGCAACCCATCCTGATTTTCCATAAGATTTCCAATGAAGGGCACTGCAAGCAAACATGGATGGTAAAAACTAAATTTCCTTATATAAAATCCAATTTTCTAGTGCATACCCACAATCAAATTCTTTTAAGTCCAGTAAACAATGACATTTTTTTGGTACAACATTCGATAATCAAGAGTACCATTCTCTGCTTCCCAAAGGTTTTCTCTTTTTACAAATTCTCTCTAATCCATCCTACTTGCAAAATATACCGTCAACAAGCATTCCAAGTTCCAACTGAACCACACATCTGCATCTTACCAGCAATCTAGACTCGAAGTAGAACTGTGAATTCAAAAAGAAAATATTGCAAGTAATCAAACACTAAAAGCACGCACAAAATAAGAGCTCCAGAAACACCATGCAAGTATGATCTTTTTCCATATAAATTACTTAATTTAACGCACCCCACCACAAAACACAACTAGAAAGCAATAAAATCAGAAGCCAGATTTTCCCATGTCAATCTAGACTCAAAATAAATCAGTGAATTCACAATGAAACTATATCAAGTAATCAAACACTAAGAACACACAAGCACGGACTCACAATAAGAGCTCAGGAAACACCATAACAATACGACCATTTTCCAGCAAAATTACTTAAATTTAACTCACCCCACCCCAATAGCACAACTAAAAAGGCAAAAAATTCAAAACCCAGAGTTTCCCATGTCATGATGGAAGAAATTCACAAATTGCAGCAGAAAAATTGCCATAAAAAAGACGCAAGTAGAAAAGAGTTCAATTGATCACAAGAAGAAAAACTACATACAATGTGATCCATGTGGCCATGGGAGATAAAGAGGAACTGTTGCGAAATAGCACGTTGTGGGCATTTTCCAATGTCAAAAGCTAAGTTGAGAGAAGGGATTATCACGCAGGTCTCATGCCCTGCTATTGATATCCCTTCAATTTGATACCCTTCAATTTCCAATCCCCTCTTTCCTTGCTCCCTTCTTTGGCCACGGCCTTTGCTCTTCTTCTTCTCCTCCTCCATTTTTGGGTTGTAAATTCTACTACAAATTTCTGATTTTCAGCAAATGTTTTTTCTAATTAAGTAGCTACTTCTTAATCCGTATACCAGCAGACAAACAGGAGTGAAGGCAGAGAGGTTTTAGGATGAACTGCTTGCATTCTCCGGGTTTTACCCTTCTTAGCTATTCATTATTCATGAGTTGTCTGCCATGAATGAAAAATAGGTAAATTCCACTTTGTCCCCCTCAAACTATGTGCAGAATCTCACTTCAGTCCCTAAACTTCAGAATTGGACAATTAAATCCTTATACTACAAAGCTTGCCCTACTTTATTCTAATTTTTGATGGAGTGCACTAAACTTAAAGAAATAGTTGTCAATTTATTATAATTAAAGTCAATCAAATCTAATAGGGACATAAATGTCCTCATCACTCCAACCACCATACCGCCATCTCTATTTCTATTGCAAGTTCTACCTTTCATCATTCTTACACATACCCATATTTTGCTACTCAACTAATTTTTTTGGAATGAAAGTATTTGGAAAAAAAAATCACCCAAATAGAACTCTTCGTGGAATGAATTTGAAATTAGGTCCAATACATTCACAAAATACTATAAATGCAAATTCATTGGAATAAAAATTTATTATGATCACACATTAAAACAGTACTTTCTCATTATAGCCTTATACGTAAGCTTCCCAACAACATAGCACAAGCTTTTCATAAAATCTGCAATAATAAAAAAAAGGGCATTAATGTCATCCCACTATGTTTTTTCAATAGGGTTACTTTTTTCAATTATTTTGAAAAAGTGTATATTCTAAAATTTAGTAAAATAAAATGTAACTATCCCTAAAATACAGGGGTTCAATTTTGAGAAAGTGTACATTCTAAAAATTTAGTAAAATAAAATGTGACTACCTCTAAAATACAGGGGTTCCATTGCAATTAACCCCAGCGGAAATCATCGTTTTGGTAACCTATACAACTAGGGAAATTAGCGTCTTTTGCTTCCAATACCTAAACCCCTTTACACAACCCGAAAAAGATGGACCCGTCGTGGCACCACCACGCTCCTCCTCCTCCGCCTCCGCTACCAATTGGTGGAGCGCCACCACCTCAGGCGGCAACAATCTGCCCAGTTTGCTCAATGTATCACTTCCCATTCTGCCCTCCTCCACCTCCTCTTCCTCCTTTCTCTCAAAACTTCCATCCCATCCCTCATCAATACCCCCCACCACCACCTCCCCCTGATCAATTTTACCACCCCAGACCCCCTCAGCACCCGCCCCCTCTCCCACCCGCCCCCCCACCTTCTGCCTACGATCCCTTTGCTGACCACCAATCAGGGCCAGCTGCAAACCCCCGTCAGCAGCCGCCTTGGATCCCAAGTTCTGGTTTTGATAAAGACCCAGATGGGAATATGTATGCTAATAGTCATTCCACTTATGCTGGGGCTAAAAGAATGAGGTTTGATGATTCGGGCTTTTCGCCAAGCCCGGCCCACCCGTCTTTGGCTGCTGAGGATGAGAGAAGATTGAAGCTGATTCGCGATCACGGTGGGGCAATGAGTGGGGAGTCCAGAAATTCTGCTACTAATTTAGGGACGAGCAATTCTTTTGATCCTGGTTATTGTGATTATGTCCCAAAATCGAATTTTGGGCATGATAGTGATCGTAGTAGTTTGCATCAGAATAATGTGTATGAATATAGTAGACGTAGTTTGAATAGCATAGAGCAGCTCAGACAAAGTCAAGAAAGAATGGGCTTCAATCGGCATGGTGTATCAGGGGATCAATATGGTAATTTGCCGAACCAAAACGGGCAGAATATTGGGCTGACTCAGAATTATAGGGTGTTTAGTAGCCAGCCTCCACTTCCAGCCTCTCCACCTCCACCTCTTCCTGTGGATCCCCCAGGGCAGCATATGGTGCGGCCTGTTGTCTCGTCTTCACCGTCTGGTACATCTGCTTCTTTGTTCCCGGTTGCTCGAGGTTCTTCTTCAACCGCCGTTCAGTCGTCCTCATATCATCCTGTTCCAGAATCAAGTTTGTTGGCATCGCATCAACCCATTAGAGGCAATCTCCATGCTTCGACCAGCTTTGGTCCTGAGGTATGCTGCAAAATGCTAAGGCGTGTTAATCATATGTGTTAATGCAGTCATACTTATAAAATTTTCAAGAATGTGTTTTTGATGCCTTTTGGTCAAAGCAAACACTATTGGACGAAGTGGAGATCAATAAATAGGAAGCATTAATGTCTTATTGCTGATCTCTAATAGCAGGAGTTGAGAGTGTTGTCTTTGTAGCCTGGCAACATCTAGCATGTTGGTTATCAGTCTCTTCATTTGTAGGACACGGACCAGTTTGACACACATAATACGCTTTCATTTTCTGGAAATATAGCGAGGTTGGGGTGGTGAGGATGTTTTCTGAGAAAAGCATTATTTTAGCGAACCCAATGAATTTATCTGCAAACCTGGTTACATTAGTAAACTAGTTTATGCTACCAAATGTTGGACCTGAATAGAGTATGTGACACTCAATAATATCTTACCAGTCACATTTCACTAACTTGTAAAAGTATTCTTATTACCAAATTTTGGACCTCAAGTGGGGTAACTGTCTCTGCAATATCTTGCTAGTCACCCGCCACTACCTCCTGGCAACATTCTTATGCTGTAAACTAAGTCATTGTTCATTTGAAACAGTTGAAATCTACAAAATAGTTTAAATATGTTTCTCATTTTAAACGTCATCACACTTTCTTGTGATGTTATTATGTTTTAGCTGGGAGGGTGATCACAGCTGCACTATTTTCTTTCATTTTGTAAATGTGTCTTAACAGATGCTTGTGTGGCACACATACACACACTCTCCTGTGGAATTGTTCTATTACATAATTCTTTTTAATGTTGTTTCAGAACCTCCGAGACATTTAAAGCCAATTTTCAAGCTTAATTTCTTTCTCAAGAATATCACTGTTTTACTTCTATCTTGTTTCCTTTTTCTGAGATATAGTATCAATTCCGGTGAGTTGTATCTGGATTTTCATGCTTCTTAGTGCATTGTAATTACATTCCGGCTTGTTAATTGAGATGATGGTAAGTGAAAAACATGGAGTGTACTGGACTACCTTTTCTTGATAGAGGTTCTGTGACTTGAACTAGCTTTCTCATATGGGAGCAAAGAAATTTCACCGGCTGCTAGCTTTCCTTTCTCACAAGGGATTCAGGAGAGCACTATTAGGTGTCTGATTTGAAATGAGAATCTTTTACATAGTATACTTGGTCATTTTACTATTGTAAATTTTTCGTGTTTTTCATTGATTTTCTCTTTTCTTTGTGTATCTCCTCTTGCTTGTCGGTCAGAGATCTTATAGTTACCGTGATTGTCAGGATTTACAAGGTATACGACAAGCGCCATATAAAGCATACTTTGGAAGAAGTGAAGTAATTCCGCAGCAGCCTCTATCACCTAACAAACCTAAAGTTGTTGATGCCACTCACATAATAAAGCAACCCCATCGGGTGAATCGTCCCGATCACATTGTCATTATTCTTCGTGGTCTTCCAGGTTTCTCCCCTTCCCTTTCCTTCTTATAAAGATACGTGCTCCTTTGCCCATCTGCTAAAGGTTTTGAGTACATCATCCTCAAAGATAGGGGATTGTTGACTCAAATGAAATCATACGAGGCCAAAAGTTACTATTTGCTACATAAAACATTTGAATTGAACTATCTTTCTTCAACCAGCTTTTTATCTTCTTGTAAAGAGTAAAATAATTAATGTTAGGAAAACTGACTGTATTCAGGAATAAATCAAGGATGTACATTTTTTTACTTGTATTTTGTGCTAATAACTCAAAATTTCACAAACAGCATGCCTGCTTTATATGTAGCATTCTATGAGAGAAATTGGAACTTTTTGCTGTGAAGCATGGTATGCTATCTGAAACCTAACAGCAATTAATATATTTTTAGGTAGTGGGAAGAGCTACCTGGCAAAAATGTTGCGTGACCTAGAGGTTGAAAATGGTGGTAATGTGCCACGGATACATTCCATGGATGATTATTTCATGACTGAAGTTGAAAAGGTTTTCATGAACTCTTCATTTTATTATTCTTTCTACAGCTACTGTCTAAAGCTTACTGGATCCCATATCTCTATTTTTGTTTATCTTTTTATTGCTCAAATTTTACTTTTCTTTGTGCTTGTTTCTCGGAAAATGTCTATAGTAACTACATGAAATTCCACAGGTTGAAGAGAGTGAGTTTCCGAAGCCATCTGGTTCTGCTAGAGGGAAAAGGCCAGTAACGAAGAAAGTCATAGAGTTTTGCTATGAACCTGAAATGGAAGAGGTCAAAATCTTGTGAATGATCATCATTTTTAAAATTTTTTTTTTGGAGATGAATGTATGCGGATATGGCCACCATGCACATTTCAATGGCTGCAATTGACATTTAATAATTGTTTCAGAAATTTGTTAAGTAGATGCTTCTGTCCTTAAAGTTTTCACGAGTCTGTCAGAAATATGGGCCTTTGACTGGCAACAGCTTTGGACTGAATTACCTAGTCTAATTTTTGTAGTACCTGTTGTACAACACAACAGAACACTAATATTAAAAGTGCTAATTTTGTGGCTGCCAGCTCAATTTAAGGCAACTTTATCACCCATGCCTCTTTGACTTAATGAAATGTCATGCTTATTTATGCCAACACTGAAAACCTTTTTTTTTTAATTTTTATAATCACTTGTAGTTTCAAAATTCATAAAACAATGCAAAGTTGAATTTATTGCGAACGTAGGAAGTTCTGGTTTCAGCTTCTGAAATTTATCATTGTGGCTGTAGGAGTAAGGAAAGTTTATGCTGTATTCCTGTTTCTTTATCTATTTTTACCAGCAGATGGCTGTACAATTTTTTGGAAAGCTTATTCTTGTGTTTCTCAGTACCTAACAATTCGTAAGTCGTCATGATCATGTTAACGTGTCTCAAACAAAATGTTTCTAAATGTATATCTGCACCCTCATTTTGCTACTAGTGTCTTGGGGTGGTCACTTTAAATGGTGTTTTTTTTTCGAGCTTTGACCTGTAATATTGGCTTTTCATGAACATGCTAAATGCTTTGCCAAGAAAAATATTTGTTTATCCTAATCAAGACTGCAGGTGATTGTAGT